CGTTACTTGATGACGTCGCCAGATTACCTCGGCTGATAACATGATTAAACCAATGCCGTAGATGGCGTTGGCCAGGTAATTTCTGTACACTGTTGCAGGTAACATAAAACTACAGGTAGATTCACCAGGCAGGTACTCACGGAACGTTGTGTATCGGACAGCGACTAGAGTGGCCACGCCCAACAGGACGTCCCCACAAGACATGGAGACCAGAATCAGACATTTTGGTCTGTGCAGGTAGTGTGTCACTCGCGTGAGTTTTATAATTAAAAACACATTGGTGATTACAATCAATCCTGCAAAAATTGTCAGCATTATTTCAGCGAATTTTTGGTATACAATGAAATCTCCCCCATAACTCATGACTGTTGTACCAGCTATACAATCCACAAATGTTGAACGAATATGAAGTTGTTAAATGATCTGAGTTCTGCTGCTGGTCTCTTTTTTGTTGACGATCAAAAAGTCTTAAACTTCTGTTGATAATAAACAAGGCAGTTTATTAGAATATTGTTAAATTACTAAACATCATATTACATTATTTTCACTGATACTTACATAAGTAATACAAAATTACTATTTTTTATTATACTAGAGATCGACATGTAATGGTCACAGTTATGTTGATGGTCAGATGGTCACAGTTGTGTTGATGGTCAGATGGTCACAGTTGTGTTGATGGTCTAAGGTCACAGTTGTGTTGATGGTCTAAGGTCACAGTTATGTTGATGGTCAGATGGTCACAGTTATGTTGATGGTCAGATGGTCACAGTTATGTTGATGGTCAGGTGACACAGTTAAGTTGATGGTCAGAGGGTCACAGTTATGTTGATGGTCAGTTGGTCACAGTTGTGTTGATGGTCAGTTGGTCACAGTTATGTTGATGGTCAGTTGGTCTCAGTTGTATTGATGGTCAGTTGGTCACAGTTATGTTGATGGTCAGTTGGTCACAGTTATGTTGATGGTCAGTTGGTCACAGTTATGTTGCTGGTCAGATGGCACAGTTAAGTTGATGGTCAGATGGTCACAGTTAAGTTGATAATCAGATGGTCACAGTTATGTTGATGGTCAGTTGGTCACAGTTATGTTGCTGGTCAGATGGCACAGTTAAGTTGATGGTCAGATGGTCACAGTTATGTTGATGGTCAGTTGGTCACAGTTATGTTGCTGGTCAGATGGCACAGTTAAGTTGATGGTCAGATGGTCACAGTTAAGTTGATGGTCAGATGGTCACAGTTATGTTGCTGGTCAGATGACACAGTTAAGTTGATGGTCAGATGGTCACAGTTATGTTGATGGTCAGTTGGTCACAGTTATGTTGCTGGTCAGATGGCACAGTTAAGTTGCTGGTCAGATGACACAGTTATGTTGATGGTCAGTTGGTCACAGTTATGTTGCTGGTCAGATGGCACAGTTAAGTTGCTGGTCAGATGACACAGTTATGTTGATGGTCAGATGACACAGTTATTTTGATGGTCAGATGACACAGTTATGAAGCTCTGCTCATGCAGCTTTGGAAAAGTAAATCCGGGTGTTAGAGCGCTGTAGTGTTAGCCCGAAGGTCTCAAGTTCGGGTCTCTGTCGGACTCAAGACTGTTTGAAAGGGGACATAACTTACTTTAGCTTTAAATCCAGCTAAGGTGGGAATGTGTGTCAAAAACGGGAGACACTTGATGTTTTAATCTGCCAGTTTAAGTGAACTGATTTGCATTGTATAGATCCTTGCCTTTTAGTTTTTAAAATCACAAATTTCTCTAGCTGCTAATTTGTTGTGACCAGTTTCGTATTACAAACTATTATGTTACGTTTGTAATGTTCGGAGATTTTTGTGAACCTCTCTTTATATATATATATATATATATATATATATATATGTATATATATATATATATATATATATATATATATATATATATATATATATATATATATATATATATATATATATATATATATATATATATATACGTTAGGTAGTGAGGTAAGACCCTAAGTAAGCGAGCAAGGAGCAAGAAGTCAACCGAACTAACTTTCCTTATGTATGAGAAAATCTGCTGATCTTCATGGAGCTAATAACTTCAATTAAACAGTTTTCATAACTGAAATTCACTACGATTTTTAGAAAATATACTCATAGATGTTAGTTTTAGAGACTATAAACCGTCAATGTAAAAATGTCTTACCTTACACAGAACACGGAATGTGACTGCAGCAGATCAAATAATCTTTACATATTGAACCGGTTTGTCTTTGTGCGGCTGAGGAAAGATGGCTCTTAATGTCCTTTTTTACGAGGTGTTAATGCACGCTCTCATCATTGATGCTGCTGGCTATTAGAGAAAGATTTGTGTATTTCATGGACTATGTCTTTGGCTGTACAGTGTACATGTATTGTAAAGTAGAAGTACACACCAATGTAAAGGGGAAAATATATGTCATTCTAATAGGGAACAAACGAGTTGTTCTATATTTGTTGTTTTTATATCTAACCGCCAAACTGACCACTTTTTGCATCTTATCACAAACCTGACCACTTCTTTATTTTATCACAATATCGATCCCTTTTTGCTTCAACCATTAAAAACTTTGCTGTCCCTGCTGTCTCTAAGCCTACTAAGGATCAATAATTATAATGGTTATTTTACGTTTGTAGACGCTTGCAATCTTTGTCAAATCTGTTTCTAATCACAATCACAATCCTAAACACGAGCCATGGTAATATTTATATTAACGTAGACTTAATACTGTTAGCATTTCGTTTTTTTCTTATTGCCAAGCATTAAAATGTTACACATGGTTACCTTGAAACCCAGGACTTCAGACATTTAATGTACAAGCGATGCAAATTTTAAATCACGAAAACCTCTTGTTTTGGTTTTCTAGCCTCATGTGTACCTGGTTTAATCAGCTATTTAATTGTATGACGTTTTTCTACGTATAAGCTTCACTCATTTGTATCAATTATTTAATTATGATTCACAATCAAGAATTGGACGTCTATTAATGCAAATGTAAATGAGACCTGAATCTTTTTCTTAATGGTTGCTTCCGCTGGTTGAAATAATATGTGTTCGGGTAATAGAAATTTTAATTCTCAAATAACTTGTTTTCTACTCCATTGTTTTTATTGCCGCGGATGGACAACCTGTAATTTCCTGTTTAAAGAGTGAGAGCAAGAGAGGTGGAGAAAGAGGGAGAGTGTTAGGGATAGGGAGAGAAGAGAGACGGGATGAGGATAATGGAGAGGTAGAGATGCCGTATTATAGTTTTTTCAAACGTGGGAATGGCCATGCCGTAGCCAAGCTACAGCTGCAGCCTATACCAAATGTTGTTACCGTCGTGAAGATGATTGAAATGATTGTAACACAGTGATGTCTGTAAAGCGTGTCTGTGTTTCTTTCAGACATTTTTCTCTGTAGTTGAGCGACGATGCCTGTAAAAAAAGCTATACGCCTCATACGTGACACAATTTATGCGGAAGAAGTACATAAAAGGAAACAATTACAGCTAAAACATTGTTGTAAGCAGAAACATTGTAAGGGTAGTATAATGCAGGGTGACACCAAAATGTAAAATCGTTGGAAGGAGTGACGCAACTCCTGTCTATGATATACATACTATAGTCTATACTATAGTATATAGCCTATAGTCCCAAAACACATTTGTGTTGTATTTTTTAAACTAGTTGTTATATCTAAAGGTTAAAAAAATAATTAAAAATCTATTGCTGAGTTTATTAATAGCACAACGCCATCGTTGACCTAGATACCATGCCACTTGTGGCGTTACTAGAACACCCGGATATAACTATCACCTGTAAACAATATAGGTCCGCTACACAAAAGGTCGTTAATATTAAATGAGGCGTTGGGAAATTTGGAAAGGTGTTATTTCGATGTCATCAAATTAATTATTTGGAAACGGTTGAAATAAAATTATGTTCCGGCCGATCTAACTCGCGTTCTGTGTGGAGGCTTAAATTAAATACTTTGGAAAATTAAGTAAACAAACCTGGACATTATAAACCATTTTGAACGCCGTTTAGTAGCCCACAGCCGACCGTAATCAATTTTTTATAGTAACAAATTTAATTATCTTGCATTTGTGACTTGATAAATATTTTTGTAAAATAAATTCTGAAGCCGCGGTTGGATTAACTTCATTACAAAAAACATTTACATTTTGAAATTGCAAGGGATTGTGGGCCCATTTCCAACGCTATAAAGAAGCAAAAGTCGTCTTAATATCTAGCGGCCTCTCGTGTGATTATTTTTTGATTTGTTTTCAAAAGAATTTTGCCGACTACAGCGTGTTTGATAGCGTGCCCCCCCCCCCCCTCGCATTGCGGGGTCTGGCGGCACTGTAGTTCCGCCCCTGATAGAAGCACATCGGCTCTTTGTTGTCGATTTTAAGTTCCTTTCTCAGAACTCCCACCACTCCCCGCTCTTAGCCTTACAAGAGGCGAATCGATAAATAAAAAAGTATATTTATTTTATCTTACATACACTTGCAAATATTAGCATTGTACCTCCTAAAAGCAGGCAGCTAAAGCTAATATAATTGATCCAATCAAATTTAGTGAATTTATTGTATTGCTTTGAACAGTCAGCGTAAAAAGTAGCCACGTTCTCTGTATGTGTTGTGACACGTTAAAACTTGAGGCTGTGTTTTTTATTCTCCTAATTTTAATATTTAGTTTACAAAGTTTGGTTAAATACACAGGGGATGGGGCACAGAAACAGTGTGATCAAATATTTTGTAGGAAGATGACTTAATTCGACAATATGTGCTTATACGGGTGTTAAAGCTTGTGGGTAATGATTAATTATAATTAAAATGTTGTTGGTCTTCCCCCAAGTTAATTATTATTAATTAAAGTTCCTGTTTCACACTTGGCGGTCCTTGGGAAAGATAACATACAACTGTTTCCGTGACCTCATTACATTTTAAAGTTTGCTTTTTATTTATCGTATAATATGAATATAAAGACAGTATATTAACTAGGCATGTTGTAAATACGATGGAGCGATAGCAATTAACGGTGTGACGATTGGACGTAGAAGCATTAGCCATATGAGGCCGTTGTTTATGGCGTAATAGGCTACGTAAGGAAGTGCGTTGTAATCATAGGCCATAGAGAAAATAGCTTGAGGAACCACGAGAAAAAAGAAGAGCAATGCAAGGGAAAGAATTTTGTTTTTTTCATTGTTGATAACTAGTGGTGGTGTTGTGATGTGAGGGTTGGGATTTAGTTCTAAAACGACATTGTTAAATTGATAGTTATTAAGTGGGGTCATCTCTGGTTGCTTGTTGTAACCGTCAATAACCGGTGCACCTTGCGTGTTCCATTGTGATGACTGGTTAGAAAAGACCTGGTTTTGCTGTGGGGTCAGCTCTATCTGCTGTTGTGGAACGTGATCCTTCTTTATGCACGACACACAGATAGCTGTGACAAGGGCTATGACCGCTGGTACAATGGTGGACACAGTATACACAGCTTGTAAGTCTATCCCTACCATATAAATTGGTAGTATAAGCACAAGACCCAGATTCCACGGGACGCAACTGATGGCCAACCCCCTCAGTATATCTGTTTTAGTTTTCGTTCTTTGATTGTTTGATCTACAGCGGTGAATATACTCAGCTGATAAAACAACGAGCCCAGTCCCATGTACAAAGTTGATGAGATGTGTTTGGTAAACATCAGATGTGATCCATAATCTATAAGTTAACTCCTCTTTTGCGAAATCTTGAAACACATCCCTTGTTGATATCACCAATGAAAAAAGAGCCAGGAAAATGTCACCTATGGACAACGAGACCAGTAAGAGATATTTAGCGCTGTAGATAAAATGTTTCTGGCTCCAAATTCTGAAGATCAGCGCCCCGTTGCACAGTACAATGAGGATGATGAAAATGATGTAAAGAGCTTTTGTGGTTTTTAATAAAGCATCGGAGTCTAAGTCTTCGTTATTCATTACATGTACATCCATTGCTTGATGTTTCGTTTCTTTCTGTGTTGAAGAACTAAAATAGAATTTAAAAAATATGTTTTGCATTAATATGAATAGTTTTGAATGCATTTTTTTCCTATGTTATTTTTTAGTCCTTATTTTAAAATTAATTATTTTTGAGAAGAAATTGCTTTCTTATTTGCTTAGTACAAAACTATTTAAATGAGCTTTATGTGCAACCCATTTAGACCTTTAAGAGGACCAATAATTCATGGAAGAGGTTTGAAGATTTGCCTCTCTTTACCAATACACTGTAGTTCTTTTTGTCTATACAATGGCAATAGTGTGTTAGTTACTGAAATAAAATCACTTCTGTATTAGATCTGTTTTTTTAATAAAACAGTTAATGGACTATCCCCCTGTCTCTCCCCACCCCTCCCGTAGGTCTGTCGGTATGGTAGTTCCTACACTGAAGGATAAAGAAGCTATTTGAACTATGGTGGAATGAAGTTCGACACTAGTTTAATTTATCACCTAGAGCGATGGAATATATTTACAAATAAAGACACGGATCTAGTTCTATAGATCAAAGTACACACCCCACCCCACCACCGTCCCCCCCCCCCGAAAATTTCAAGTGCCCGCCGCCCCTCAGGGAGAAAAAAGTCTGGAAGAAACAATGACAACAAAAGCACAAAGCACAATTGTGATGCACAAATTCTTATGTAAATAAATCTTTTCGAACTCTTGATTTGCAACCCCCCCCCCCCCCCCCCCCGCGCCCTCAAACTTTCGATTTGTCTTTCCATCCAATTTGGCGCCCTCTAAGGTCAGCACCCGGGGACATAATTCCCCCCCCCCTTGCTACGCTTCTGACATGTGTTGATAAACGTCCTTTGTAAAATTAAATTTTATAACTATTTAAATTACAGTTTTTTGGTTGTTGTTCGTTTTGTTTGTAGGCAAAATATTATTCTTTTTTTTTCTTTACGCCAATCGCTAACAAAAAGAGCTAACTTATTAAAATCGATTACTGAATAAATTATAAAATGTATTTTGATTATTAAGCATATTTTTTAAGTTGAATTATTTGTTGCTTTATTTAAAATATATATATGTATATATATATATATATATATATATATATATATATATATATATATATATATATATATATATATATATATTAACTTTAGGAAAAAACAATACCTGTAATCAAATCTTTATGGGAACAATTTTCTCAAGTTGATGAAGATTTTGAATGTAAATGTTTCCAGTGATTCTCCCTCTCTGTCTTTAGTTTCTATCACTTGAGAAGTATTATCACACTACGGGAAACGAGTGCACATTCAAGGTGAAAAACCTGTCGCGGGTTCTTTCGTTGAGACTGCTTAGGAATGAGGTCAGGCTCAATTTAAAAGGTTAGCAATCTGGGTCGAGAAATCGCCATTGGTTAACTTACAGGTCCAATCGTAGTTTTGGAAACAAAACTGGGGAAATATTTGGTATCTAAAAATAGATTCCGACCTATTTCTCAATCTCGAGGCTTGTGACTCACTCAGGGCAGTTTTATCTTGATTTAAATATTAAATATGGCCTATAGACGTCATCTGCGCTGTGTAATGTAATGGTCTACGTGGTAAAAATAGATTGTTACTGAAATGTAGGCCCTACGTTGGTATTGTAAACAAATATTAAATGACCAAATGGATCATGATTTTTCTGCGCACCAAATCTATCTACACGTTACCTCATGTTTGCGTTGTAAAAATATATTGTTAGTGATAGGTTTTATTATCAACAAGTATTAAATGACCAAGTGGATCATGAATGTTCTGCCCACAACATGTATCTACACGTTAGCTCATGTAGGGTAGAGCCATTGGGATTATAACGTGAGACATGACGACCAAATGCTCGTCCTGTGTAAAACATTAGCTGAAGTCAGAGTATTAGTTGTGAACTGTCATTATTGCATGTAGCTACACTTATGATATACAAAGCGGACAGAAGTGAAGCAATCCGGTCAAACATAACTAGATATTAATGTTAAAGACACATTAAGAGTAATCAGCATTTTAAGCAGTACTTTACACAACCTATAGTATTTCAAAATATAGAAAACATAAAACACAGATGTACAGACAATACGAATGTTTCTTGCATTTAGGTTAAAGTAATTTAACAGCACTGTCGTGTTTATTTTTTGTATCTATTATGCTGTTGGAAACATAAACATCACAATGTATCTAATTAATTTACGCTGAAATATATTTAACATTCCGATTCCCGATCCCTGTGTGACGTATACGACATGGTTGAATGACTATAAAATAACAAATACGATAAAGCGAATCCGGGTCATGCCTTTAGTGCGGGTCACTGTCGAAGTTAAAAAATGTAAACTCACCGGTAGATAATTTTGACGGTACACTGTTTTTGTTTAGGGATACCTGATATACATGTTTTTTGATAAATAAGTGACATTTTGATGACTACATTTTAAAAAAAAATTCGGTATTAATACCTTTTAGGGAAAAAAAAAGTCAACGAAAAAACAACAACACATAAACAAAATTACAGAAGAAAAGTTCACAAATGTGTATTTTCATGGACTTTGTTAATACTAGTATACATTAAATATTTAGTAAAGCAACGCCCAGTTTATAATCTTTCAACATAACTATGTGGTAGGTTTAAACTAGGGTGTAGTCGATACTGGTGTAATACCTACACTCCCCGTTTCTTCACACCTTCCCCGCCCCCAAACCCCATGACCCATATTAAAGGCAAAATACCCTTTAATGATTTGGTCGCCCCAACCCACCCCCCCCCCCCTCCAGCCAAAAGGGGTTTCTCCACATGAACCTTCATTCCATTAAATTTTAATGGTTGTTTTTTTATTTGTAATAACCCGCATTAATTTATTTATTCATGCATTTTGATTAACCACACTACAAATATTGTTTTCCTTTTGACTATTTCTGGTGATTTCTGTAACTTCTTTGTAATTACTTTACAAAATTGTACATATTGTAAACAAATGTTAAACGAGCACATTGACTCCAATGTGTACAATTGTAAAAACTTTTGTTTTTTTTTCCTGTTAAATTGTTATATATTATATAAATAGTGTTGATGCTATTTTAATTGGTTTATTATTGGAAATAGAAGTATTTAATAAAATAAATAAATAAAATGTTAAGAAAAAGAAAAAAAGATAAAAAGCATCTTATGAGGTAAAAGTGATTTTGTCCGTATTCTGGTCATTCAAATATTTAGCCCTTGTGTTTGAAAGCTCATGCATACTAAGTTCTCGTTTGGGAACACAAGTCCAGATTGTAATTTAAGTTTATGTTAAACTGTAAACAAATAAGGTTCTATAACTGTAGTTATGTTTAATACACTTATATATCTGAATACACTTATATATCTGAATAAATAACATAAGAACTTAAATGCATTTTTTATTTCGCAGGAGGTGGTATAGTGATGCTGATAAAACGAAAATTCAGGTGAATGTATTTAAGAAGCTGTGCTAAAATGAATTGAAAAACATGTTAATGTTCTTTATTTAAAAACAAACAATTTAGGTAAAAACGAAAAACGAAATGTTCATTTACTAATTTACAAAAGCTAATGTGTTGGTATTTGATATAAATTGCACATCATGCAATGATTAGATTGCTGGTCTGTTCTTGTGTTTTTTTTTAATTTTATATATATATATATATATATATATATATATATATATATATATATATATATATATATATATATATATATATATATATATATATATATATATATATGTGTATATATATATATATATATATATATATATATATATATATATATATATATATATATATATATATATATATAAGTAGTTTTTGTGACTTTTTTTTACAATCGGTATAGACGCCCTCCCCCATCCCCCTATCCCAGTAGGGCTTATAAATTGGTAGCGCGAGTCTGTAGTGCTTTAGTCTAGGTAAATTATTTATTTTTTACTAGGGCTATTGTAGCTCAGTGGTTAAAGTTTTGTTTTTGATTGGCCCCTTTGGAACCATATGTGTCTAGTTTGTTTAGAGCAGGGATTGTTCAAACACCCAGTCAGGTTGGCGGAGAGACAGGCCTCAGTGAGCCTCAAGTGTTACTGGACAAAGCACGGTGTGTGGCGCAGAATCTGGCGTGTAAGGCAGACCAGTGGCTCAGCAATGTGGATTACAACCTCGTGTGTGCTAGGCTGGACAACGCAGATGGGCGTGGCACGGATCTGGTGTGTATGGCAGACCGGTGAAGAGAACGGTGGCAGTCGACCTACCTACGAAAGGCCTGTGGCGTCAAACCCTTGATTCTTGACCCACAAAGAGAGCGAACTGGACACCCGCCCACACACAAGTGTCGAGGCAGACGCACGTTCATCGATTGCGTGCACAATCCGAGAGCCAGTGGTGCAAGACGGTTGCGTCATCTCTAGACCAACTAAGCGGACACCTTACCGGTGGTCTTAGGCTGAGGCCAGATACACGGTGTGTTGTGTAGTGGTGTATTTAGTAGCAGGCTGGTCTAGACGCCCCCCCCCCCTCCACCAGCAGAGCCTATATATATATATATATATATATATATATATATATATATATATATATATATATATATATATATATATATATATTTATATATATATATATATATTATATTTATAGTAAAGAAAATATTAAAGTCACACAAAGATATATCCACAACCTTAAGCGCATGATGCCACCCTATCAACAACGTTCTTTCTTCTTACATATCAACTACACCCTGTGAATACAAGTACCCATTTATTGCCTGCATCTGTTTAACTTTTACTTCTCCAGCCTTTAAACCCTACCTCACCACAAGTCTGTGACGTATTTGTGTGACGCAGCAACCAGCGCCGTGACGATGGGCCGTAGTAGAGTCAGCCACATCAAGTCGTCTGTCACAATGACGCGCGTCATGGTCTGATGGGCGTCACCAGGATTCAGACTTTGGGCGTGTAGCAGGAAATAGCCGGCCCGGGGGGTCACAACACAGCAGTAGAGTAGCGTCAATGAGAGCAGGGTATGGGTTTCTGTGTAATGAGGGTCTGTCCTGCTGGAGGGGGTTATGTCATGGTTGGCTGGACAAGCCGCTGGACACACTTCATGACAACACAGTCTGATGTTTAGATTGATCGATAGGTCTGGTGTGGTTTCCAGTTTTTCTCTATAGCTCGAACTTATTTTATTTCGTTTGTCTTGTTTATCTTTGAACATATACAACACATTATTCGTTTGTTTGGTTGTATCGTCTGTTTTTACACATATGACGTAGAGTATTGATAACAGAGCCAAGCAAGCCGGTGCTAGAGTTGATAAAACCAGCTGGGCTCTCATCAGATCCGGGGTGTAGCCAAAGTTGTACATGTAGCAGGTAGCTGTGGGGACGGTGATTGGCAGCACTAGGACTAGCCCGACACCCCAGGGCAGGCAACTCACAACGACCCCTTTAACAACCGACGTAAGAGTTGTCGTTACTTGATGACGTCGCCAGATTACCTCGGCTGATAACATGATTAAACCAATGCCGTAGATGGCGTTGGCCAGGTAATTTCTGTACACTGTTGCAGGTAGCATAAAACTACAGGTAGATTCACCAGGCAGGTACTCACGGAACGTTGTGTATCGGACAGCGACTAGAGTGGCCACGCCCAACAGGACGTCCCCACAAGACATGGAGACCAGAATCAGACATTTTGGTCTGTGCAGGTAGTGTGTCACTCGCGTGAGTTTTATAATTAAAAACACATTGGTGATTACAATCAATCCTGCAAAAATTGTCAGCATTATTTCAGCGAATTTTTGGTATACAATGAAATCTCCCCCATAACTCATGACTGTTGTACCAGCTATACAATCCACAAATGTTGAACGAATATGAAGTTGTTAAATGATCTGAGTTCTGCTGCTGGTCTCTTTTTTGTTGACGATCAAAAAGTCTTAAACTTCTGTTGATAATAAACAAGGCAGTTTATTAGAATATTGTTAAATTACTAAACATCATATTACATTATTTTCACTGATACTTACATAAGTAATACAAAATTACTATTTTTTATTATACTAGAGATCGACATGTAATGGTCACAGTTATGTTGATGGTCAGATGGTCACAGTTGTGTTGATGGTCAGATGGTCACAGTTGTGTTGATGGTCTAAGGTCACAGTTGTGTTGAT